TCTCAAGGAAAAAAAATCTCTCAACTAATGCTGTAAAATATACATGCGAGTCAGTTGGTTCTACATTACTATAATATTGAAGGTTAAAATTAACTGATTTGTTAAAATTACACTTAATGAAGTTTTTAAAATAATAAAGTTACAATTACATAATAATATTTATATTTCAATTCGTTTTTTTGAAATATAAACATAATGGTGTCTGTCATAAAAACCTGATGGATTTATTCAAACATAAATTAAACATTGAAGAACAGTAAAATTTATAATGAATATGTTATATGGTGCATATATTTAGCAAAATGCCCCTCTCTACAGTTTATTTTTCTATCTGACTAATGAGTTTATGGTCACCAAATATGTTTTTCTTAGGTAAATGTGACGTTACATGACATTGTTTACAAGCCCATATTTACATCTTTGCAAGGCTGAAACACTGATTGAGCGATTGCATGAGACAGGATACGGATTGTAAAGTTGTACTCTTTCTTTTAACTTACCTTCAGATGTTTAGTCATGTTTATTTTGTGCTGAAACTGGTATTAATGTGGAGAAGATGATCAGTTCACGTGCGCCTCACGCTGCCGCGTCTGTTGAACTGAGGAGCTACAGCGATCTGTCACTCCACATTAAACAGCGCCAAAACGGCATTTATTGTTTGAATACTACAATACAATGGACATAATTTGAAATCTGAGACTGTTTCATATTAAAAGTACCAAAGCACAATGCTTATTGCGATATATTGGATGGGAAGTACCCTTCAATGTTCCGTCCATTAACTGAAAACAGGCTAGACTAAGACTCGATTCTTGGGATTTCAGAATCATATCGTTCTGTAAAAAATGAGAATCGATTAATATCGAGATATCGATATTTTTTACCCAGCCCTAATAAACAAAGCAGAGCTGCGCTTATGAACACTACTTTAATATGCACTGTTCAGCGGCAAGATGAAAAGAAAATACCACGTAAACTTTTCTAAAGATAATCAGTTCCCCTCAGAGATACATTCATATAAACTCCTTTGTTTGGCATCTCAACCGATTTGAATCGTCACATATTTGAATTTTTCGACCGGCTCGCGGTTAATCGTTACATCCCTACTCAAAAGCACATATCCCAACCAGTTCTGCCTTCCTACAGCATGTAATATCAAATCTCCTTTAAATTAATGCTCACACACACAAAAACATACTACTTGGAAGTTGGACCTATGTTTAAGCTCTTCAGGATCTGATTTCTTCCTTGCCTTTACTCTTGGTAACAAAAATGTAATTATCTAAAGAGAAGTGCATTTAATGTTCTAATGCTGTCCTCTGTTTTACTGTGGTGATGACTTAGTCCTGTTACGTACACTTCATCCATGTTATCGTCAGTGTTTGCTTCACAACCCTCTTGTTTATTCGGGTGGTGGTTGTAGGGGGAAGGAAAACAGAAAGTGTCTTAAAGGGGTCATATGATGCTATTTTAAAGATCATTATTTTGTGTATTTGGTCTAACAGAATATGTTGACATGCTTTAATGTTAAAAAAACACATTATTTTTCAAATACTGTACATTATTGTAGGTCCTCTATGCCCCGCCTCTCTCAAACGCTTCGTTTTCTACAAAGTTCCTCCTTTTGACAAACGCAGTCTGCTCTGATTGGCCAGCTGACCCAGTGCATTGTGATTGGCCGAACACCGCAAGCA